TTCCGAGATCTGATGAGAAAGACAGAAACATGGAGCAAGTTACATTGAGTGAAACTGTCACCCTGATGTCAGGAGCTGAAATCCAGCAATCCGGCCGTGTTGAGGGACATCTATGGTATGTTATATGTTCCAGATGTACTTCTCCCGCTCCTTGTGCAAACATCTGCGCAGCATGCTGCAATGTCCCTATACATTTGCTGGGCATATGTCATCCCAGCAGGCGGTATGTCACTATAGCTACCGGGGGGAGAAAGTGAATGAAGATTTATCACTGACAGTCTGGAAGGGTTTACAAGGATATTGGAAAATGTCAACTCCATTTAAATAATGCCAATGTGTGGCCTCCGATCAGCGCAGACTTCCTGTCATCGCTATGCGGGGAAAGCTTTCCAAAAATGTGCTTGAATTTAAATAGAAACCATAAAGTCATTCTGCAGTTTTAACCCAAAAAACTAAAATGATTGAAGCTGTAGATTTGCTCCCGACCAATCAATTTTAAAGGTTATCTAAACTGAAGAACACAAATGTAACATATTGCAGTTCACCAGCCTTGAGACGTGGTGGCCGCATTCATTTTACCTTTTTCAGGCTAAAAACATTTTCTGCAAGGAAAAAAAAAACAAAAAACCTGTTGATCCTGCCAGTAATCCAGTGCACTTGTCATTTCCCGCGCACTGAACTGATATCTCAAACAATGTTAATAGCCCTCTCAGTTCTCTTCCGTGGACTAAAGAACATCCCCCACCTATTTCAATTTGCAAATCTATAGTGCTTTTCACAGGGACACAGTGCATAGGAGCCATTCAGGGCACACTCAGTTAAAGGAGAACTATGGGGTTAAGGCTTTTCCCCATAGTTCTCCTGAGGGTAACGGGAGGACACAAACTAGCGTCCTCCTGTCACCCTAGGCTCAGTATATAGAGAGCTACAGCTCGCGGTATACTGAGACACCGCAGCCGGAGCGGATCCCGACATCGATGTCGAGATCCTCCCAGCTGCGTGAGTGACAGCTGGTGGAGCGGCTCTCTGCCGTGACAGGATCGAGAAGTGAGCGAACACCGGCATGTGTTCGCTCACCTCCCGATCTACTGAGCCGACCTGTGACAGTCTCATTGTCACAGGTTGGCTAGAACTATGAGGTGAGTGAAAAGCACCCACCTCATAGTTCTCCTTTAAGCCAATTAACTGACCAGCATGGGAAAATGGAGTAAAAATAAATGCAGGAACAGACAGACTCCTTGCAGATAGTGTCCTGGCTGGGATTTGAACCAAGCACCCCAGTCAGGGATATTGCTAGACCCTGGCACCCAGGGCATGTGCCCCAGGTCTTCTACTGAGTAGCTTGGCTCTTTTACTGAGCTCCACAGATCTTCTACTGAGCGCCCTGGGTCTTCTACTGAGCGCCCTGGGTCTTCTACTGAGCGCCCTGGGTCTTCTACTGAGCGCCCTGGGTCTTCTACTGAGCGCCCTG